GTCTGTTAATTTTGTTTGTTTGGCTGGGGCCATTGTAGGGGTTAATATCCCAGACTGGGCAGTCGCTGGAGGGCTGTGTATGCTGCGGGTAATGGGCTTGGAAGTCATCCAAAGCACGGAGCTCTCACTCCATGCGACCGCTCGGTTCGGCAGTTAGCCACGCCCCCTCTGATCTTTAAATATTTTGAAACTACAGATGTGTGTTGTACTGTGTATGGCTTGAAATGGTCTTATGACATATACACAACTACATTGTGTATTGGAACAAACTGTGTATATATGTCTGCAAAAGACATGTGCAATTCGTTTCAGTCCAAATATGAATTTGGACGAATTTCGGACAATTTGGACATTCGGGTACTTCCGAATGTCCGAATTGCAGAAGTGCTGAATTGCCGAGATCCCGAAGTTCCGAAATTACCGAATTTCCGAAGTGTCGAAGTGCCGAAGTTCCGAAGTGCTGACGTGCCGAAGTTCTGAAGTGTCAAAGTGCCGAAGTTCCAAAGCACAGTATTGCCTAAGTACTCATATACTTACCCAGTGAAAGAAGAAAAATGTTACATTGTATACAATTTTAATTAAAAAGTATACAAACATAGCCAGGATTCAGCTGTAAGCATGTTCAACACTTACAACAATCAAGTAACATACATTCATATAAAATGTAAGTTACTTAGCCTGTCAATGTAATGACAGGAATGAATAAGTAGATAACTCCCTAATTCCCACGGTATTAGGGAGCTATCTACTAAAAGGCTGAAAGACCTAAATTGGTCTTTCAGACAAATTTACTAATACTTAGTACAGATTACTTAGTATTAGTAAATTATGCCCCTACTCGCTATACCGTGAGTAGGGGCATGTCTATTAAACAGCCTGTGGCTGCTCACTGTTAAAAAATAAATAATAAAAAAAACCTATTGCCCCCCTGGCCCTCCCCTGAGCGGCGGGTGGGAACCCTAATGTAAATAATGGGGGGGACCTATTGTCCCCCCCTGAGCCTCCACCCCTGAGGGGCATCTGAATAGGGGGGGACCTAATGTCCTCCCCCTGGCACCCACTCCTGAGTGGTGGGTGGGGGCCCTAAATTATAATAAGGGGGGACCTAATGTCCTCCCCCCTGGCCCCCACCCCTGAGCGGTGGGTGAGGGCCTTACAGTAAAATAAGGGGGGGACCTAATGTCCTCCCCACTGGCCCCCACCCCTGAGCGGTGGGTGGGAGCCCTAAATACTAATAAGGGGGGGACCTTTTTTGGGGCTGATAAAAAAAGATTTTAGAAGAAAGAAGACATTGAATGGTAAGTTTTATTTTTTTTTACAGATACTTAGTTAAAGGTCCCCCCCTCATTATTTTTAGGATGAGGGGGGTAGGTAGGGGGATAATTTTTTTTTGAGTGCAGGGTGTGACTAGGGGTTTGGGAACCCCTAGTCACCTGGGGGGGAAACATTTTTTTTAGGGCCCTCACCCTCTGGTGGGGGCCAAAGGGGAGGACAATAGGTTCCACCCTCTATTGGTATTCAGGGCCCCCATCCAGCGCTCAGGGGTGGGGGCCAAGGGGGAGGACCTTAGGTCCCCCCTTATTAGTATTTAGGTCCCTCACCCGCCGCTCATTGGTGGGGGTGAGGGGGGAGGACATTAGGTCCACCCCCTTATTCTAGTTTAGGGCCCCCACCCATCGCTCATGGGTTGGGGCCAGGGGGAGGACATTAGGTTCCCCCCTTATTAGTATTTAGGGCCCCAACCAACACTCAGGGGTGGGGGCCAGGGGTGAGGACATTAGGTTCCCCCCTTATTCCAATTTAGTGCCCCCACCCGCCGCTCAGGGGTGGGGGGCAGGGGGGAGGACATTAGGTCCCCCCCTTATTAGTATTTAGAGCCCCCACCCACCGCTCAGGGGTGGGGGCCAGGGGGGAGGACATTAGGTCCCCCCCTTATTCCAATTTAGGGCCCCCACCCGCCGCTCAGGGGTGGGGGCCAGTACTTATCATCATTTTACTTCAGGGCCCCCCATCATTTTACTTCAGGGCCCCGACCTGCCGCTCAGTAGTTACCGATTGCTGCTGTTCCTCCGCCGGCGATCAGTCTTCTTCTTTGGGGGAAGCCCTGAGAGTCCCCCCTCTCCAATTTAGGACCCCAGGGGCCACGTGACCACTCTAAAAGAACAGTCACATGGCCACCATAGGTGTCCATTGTCCTGCCAGCAAGGGAACTGCCTGAACTGACAGGTAGTCCCCCTGCTGGTGAAAAAGTAAAAAAAAAGTTTAATAAAAGTTTCATAAATTAAAATAGGGGGCGTGGTTTGGCACTCAAGCTGCACGGTCGCATGTCGGAGTAGCTCCCGCCGCTCGAGCAACACAGGGCACTAAATAACCGTACTAAAGAGCAATCTCAAAAGGCAAAATACACGGCAAGTACACAGTCACAGAGGCTGAAAACCAAGACAACTAAAGCGGACAAAGCGCCCTTCTTCATGGCGAAAGCTGCACCGCCAAAGCCTCGTGAAGGCCCTGATCAAGATGGCAGCGCGCCACATTTGAGGGAGGGCTCGCTCGCTTCCCCGGCCTCCCAGGACTGGCTGCTGATGATCAACCCCTCACAGTGGCGACCATGAGGAGCATGATGGAGGAACTCACAGACTCAATCCAGAGGAGCCTCAAGGCCCAAATGCTAACCCTGACAGCTGAACTTAGGAAAGACCTGCATGAAATTGGGAACCGCACTGCGCACTTAGAGTCCAAGATGGACGACTTCTCCACAACAGCATGGCTGACAAAGTACAAGAGCTGGAGGACAATATCACAGCCCAAAAAATCAAACTGGCAGATTTGGAAGACAGGTCCAGGAGAAACAACCTCCAGTTTAGGGGCAAACCTGAAACAGTTACAACTGCTGATCTGGAGAATTACCTACAAGATATGTTCCAGCAGATGGCCCCTGAACTACACCTTGACCAACTACTGCTGGACAGGGCACACCACCTCAGAAGACCCAGCCACTTACCTAGCACTGCAGCAAGGGACGTCATAGCGATGGTACATTTCTTCCATGCCAAAGAACAGATAATCAGAGTGAGCAGAAACAAAGAGATGCCTGAGATATTCAGCAATATTAAAATCTTGTCCGACCTCTCTGCAGAAACCCTGCAATATCGCAAATTTTGGCACAGATCACGTGATCGCTGCGCACACAGGGTCTGAACTACAGATGGGGATACCCGGCTAAGCTGTCAGTATACCACCAGGACTCCCTCCATTCCATCACGTCTGTGCCACAAGGCCTACATCTGCTCCGAGATTGGGGCATCCCGCTGTCTGAGGTACCAAAAGTGGGTATGGCAAAGGTTCCCTGCCTGACTCAGGACTGATCGTCCCGATAAAGAGACTAAATACCCAAGAACTGGCGGTATACGTAAGGTGCAAAACCGAGTTACCATTTAATTTGTTTTTCATGTTACAATGTTCTCTTTTTAAAACCTTATTGTTCCATACATGTAGGCGAGAATACAGGACCTGCGACCTCCTCCCACACCGACCCAGCATGTACCAAGTGAGACATATTCTTGGTTAGACCCTGGCACTGCCCAATTACCATGAGTTGAGGAGTCGGTGCACCAGAGACACACAGGTCATAAAGAGGGTACTGTCGCTAGACAAAGACGGCAGGCCTTAGGGGTTAGGCCACGTAATATAGCGATTAACTGTACCAGCACCCATGGTGCCCTAATGTGTGCTCATTAAGGGGAAGCCCTCCACTGTGGAGAGGCCCAAGACCATGACCCCCCTAGACTGCGAGCGACTCCCGGGCGACGCAAAAGGGCTCGATCTGGAAGAGCCTTATAGGGTCTTATATGTCCCCACAGCCACATCTACAATAGCAGAAATCGAAAGTTGACCTTCCCCTTTCCCCCCCTGACACCATACTACTCTTTCTTACAACAAATAATCGCACCGAACCGCCAACATATGGCAACCATCAGAGAGTTAAATATTAATAAGAATCCGTGGGCTTATATCCACAGGTACCAAGCCCAGCATCACCTGATGTTAGCACACCATAATGCGAATTGTGTCTTATAATGTCAAGGGGCTTAATTCCCCTGAAAAAAGTAGACTACTATTGCATGACCTTAAGAAAAATGCAGTCGATATAGCATGTCTTCAAGAAACACATTTTAGGCACCCCACGGCACCATCACTCTTTACAAAACTATACCCTACACAATACCATGACCTGTCGGAAACAAAAACGAAAGGGGTTTCCATCCTTGTACATAAAGATGTTGCCTTCACCCTGCCAAGCAGCTACATTGACCCTAAGGGCAGATACATAATTATTGTAGGGCTCTTCAACAACGCACAATACACCATAGGGGCAATATACTTCCCGAATGACAACCAAGCCACTTTTCTCAAATCTCTTCTCTCCAAACTAGACACCTACAAACAAGGGGGGCTCATACTGGACGGAGACTTCAACTTCATCCAGTCCCCGACCCTTGACACTACAGTCTCCCCAGAGGGAAAACGCAAAAAAGGGACTCAAGCCCTCTGCAAAGCTATCACTAACACTTTGTCCTTGTATAACCGATATGATAGCTGGAGGATGTTGCACCCCACGGACCGAGATTACTCCTTCCACTCCAGGGCCCACAACACCTACACACGTATTGACACGTTCTTCATAGATAACACGACCCTACCTCAAATGGCAGACTGTAAAATAGGGGAAATAACGTGGTCTGATGATAGCCCAATTTATCTTGACTTGAACGACACATATCAACCCCGGGGTAGAGGTACATGGAGGCTAAACGAGTCTCTCTTCCTAGATAAACCATTCATAGAGCGCATAAGGCTAGAACTCAGCAAATGCTTTCTTGCCAACACCTTAGGGGAGGTCTCGGACTACACAGTGTGGTCCGCGCATAAAGCGGTGATGAGGGGAAAGTTCATCAGGTAATCAGCGTACATAAAATGACGCCACCAAACCACCCTCCTAGACTGTCACAAGCAAATAGCGATAGTGACAGCCCAAAACAAAAAGGCACGCACGATAGCCCTAGCAGACAAATTGAGAGACCTATACCATGACCTTAACACGCTCAATGCCCAGAAAACCCAAAACTACCTACACAGGCTACTAGCCACCACATATAACAACAGTGGTAAAGCATCCAAATACTTGGCCAATAGACTTAGAACACAACAAGCCGCCAAAAGAATCCCATACCTTATGGTACACACAGGGGACAAACTCATGATCCCCATGGACATAGTACAGGAATTTTCCCATTTTTACAAACAATTGTATAATCTAGACTCAAGCGGTGGAGCTACAGCCCCAGAGACACAATCCATCCACAGCTACTTACAGGATCTTGAACTACCCAAACTGGGACAAGACTCTGTGAACGCCTTACTCAGACCGATCACTCTACAGGAGATCCAGGGAGTAATTAAGATTTAAATCCCCAGGTAAATCTCCAGGCGCTGATGAGTTCTAGAACGCTTATTACAAGAGATTTGCGCACATACTAGCCCCACACCTACTAAAAGTATACCACAAAGCAACAGAGACAGGATCCCTCCCCCCAGAAATGCTAGTGGTCACGATAGTAACGCTACCGAAACCAGACAAGCCTACCAACCATTCTAAAAATTTCCAACCCATCTCCCTCCTTAACACTGATGCGAAAATGTATGCTAAGATACTAGCCAACAGGCTGGTACCCATTCTCCCAGATATCATAGGGGATGACCAAACGGGCTTCATCAAGGGTAGGCAGGGCAGGGACAACACCAGGAAGCTCTCCCTGGTGCTGGAGAGGTTGAGAGGGTCGGGACAGGGAGGGCTGTTACTAGCCTTAGAGGCCTAAAAGGCGTTTGACTGCCTGAACTGGTCATTTCTTGAACACACACACACCAAAAGTATGGATTTCCCGCTGAATGTATTAAACAAATCTTTGCCTTGTACTCAGGTCCCACTGCACGGGTGTAACAGGCTGGCATCCTCTCAGACCCATTCCCCCTAACGAACGGTACGAGACAAGGATCCCCCTTGTCCCCTTGTTGCCGCTCTTGTATGTCCTAGCCCTAGAACCACTTCTAACCCAGATAAGGAAACATATCGATATCCGGAGAACAGAGCTACATGGTAGGGAAGTTAAGATTAGGGCATTTGCGGATGACATCCTCAACTGTGTCACCCGACCAGAACAATCGATCCCACTTATTCTAGACCTCATAAAGGAATACGGGATGATGTCCTATTATTCCCTTAATGCCGGCAAGACGCAGTTGCTGGGAGTGCGGCTTAGCCCGTAAACTTTATCGGCCCTCAAGAGGAAACACCTTTTTGAATGGAGAACAGACACAATAAAATACTTAGGAATGACCTTCACATAAAATCCAACAGAGACCTTCCCAGCTAACTATGTTAAGGTATGGGGAGACTGTCTTCATCTTATGAAGAAATGGAGCACTTTATTTCTGACCTGGACAGAAAGAGTAGCAACCACCAAAATGTCCATACTCCCTAGGCTCCAATACCTGTTTCACAACTTACTGATCCAGGTACCCATGTCTTACCTCCGAGAAGCGCAAAAGGACATAAATAGATTCATGTGGGGGGGTCAAAGGGCCCGAATGCAGGGATACTATGAGCACCTGTGAGGCAGGGAGGCCTTGCCCTACCGGACATTACAACCTATTACCAAGCAGCGGTACTGGCAGCAACCCTTCCCCATTTTACTAATACGGCCCTACCGCAATGGGTTCTGATGGAAAAATGGGCTATAGAGCCCTTTGACATAACCACCATACTGTGGCTTCCTAAACGGTTTAGACCAGAGATTCCACAGATGCCATTGCAACTAAAAATAGCAGTAAAAATTTGGGACAAGCTTTGACACAAATTAGTAACCCATACCCCCTATCACCGGCCACCCCACTCAATACTATCACAATATTGTATTCCAACCTTCAATGCCAAACCATGGATAACTAAAGTGGTCACACACCTGTACCAAATGCTCATGCACAACAAACTAAAAACAAGCAAGGAGAATACCACATACCGGTGGCCTCCCAGTTTTCACACATGCAACTAAGCTTATTCATACATAAACACACAGACAAAAGCTCCCTCACTATGACGAAATGGGAACAGATGACCACTAAGGGCTCATGGGTGCCAACATTTAAGCCATTGTCCTGGTGTTATCAGATCCTCCGACCCTCACTACACTTTGCAGACTCTAGCCCAGCCAAACAATGGGCACAAGACCTACAGTGCCCCATAAGCAAAGACCACCGGGAACATACTATAATAATGACCAAAAGACTAATTAAATCAGAAACCCTACTGGAGCAATACAGAAAAACCCTATACAGGTGGTACATGGTACGCACTCGCATACACCAGCTCTACCCAGGTTCATCTCCGGTGTGCTGGAGATGTGGAAAGGGGGAGGGAACAGTACTCCACATAGGGTGGCAGTGTGAACTCTTTGCTAGTTTCTGGCGAGATATCGACCAACTAATCCAAGACACCACACACACAAAGCTCCCCTCCACGCCCCTAGCGTGCCTTCTGCTAAACCTGCCAGAAAACACACCTAAAGAGGCACAGAAACTAGACTTCCATATCCTTCTGACAGCCCAGAGAGCAATAGCTAGATTACGGAAAACTCTAAGGCCACCACAAGTGACAGAGGTTTGCAAAGATATTGATACCCAACACCAATACGAAACCTGCTGTCGCGGGGTCCTCCCCATGACGGCAACGGCCACGGAAGCTTGGAGGTTGTGAAATGCGGGGAGACCAAGAGACCCCCAGCAACTAAGCTGCCTAGACAGATAAACTCCCAGAGTCAAACAATAGGTAGGGATGGCCAGATAGGTAATACCGCAATACGATAGAGACAAAAATGAAGGAATGTGCAGAATTAAGAGTTGCAGCAATATATGTTGACAATGTATGTAAGATTTGACACATCTATAGCTCTCAACAAATCATTTCCGTACCCCACCTTCCCCCCCTTTTTATGGTGTTGTAATGACAAATCCAATAAAAAATCTTTAAATGGAAAAAAAATTAAAATAAAGTTAATAACTTAAAAAAATATATATATGTATATATGAGACATATTTATACATACATATATATATCTTGTATATAACGTCATAGTAAGAGTATTTATTTTTACCATATACATAAATTAAGATAAAAATTCACTTAAGAGTAAAATTACACATGTATATATGTAATATATATAATAACTATATATATTATGTATATATATTATAACAAATAAATAATAATTCAAAATAAACTGTAAAAATCATTTTTTTTTAAATTATATATAAATATGTCATCTTATTCTCACTGTATTTTTATATTAATATATATATATATACATATATATATCAAAATACACTTAGAATGAAATTATATATATATCTATGCATAATTTCCCCTTAACGTCCAAGGACGAATTAGGTACATCCGCCCAAAAAAGGATCGTTAAAGACATCCGCGACAAGTAGGAGCCCTGGACCGGTGATCCGCAGAGATCACGGTCAGGGAGGACTGCCAGAGACCCCAGCAGTCCCCCTACAGCAGCTCTGGCCACCCTGGCCCTCCAGGGCCATGTGACCGCCATGATCACATCACCGCAATAGGACTCTAGGAGCTGCCAGCAGGGGGACTGTCTGAGCTTTCAGCCTGCAAAAAATATAATTGTAACGGATCACATGGCACCCCGACTGAGTACCTCCATTGATGGATGCTCCTAGCACTTCTTGAGGATTCCAAGCACTCTAGCCGACACCACAACCACCGCAGGCTAAACCTCTCTTCCTTTAGAGCGAAGCAGGAACAAGCTCTTAAAAGAGCTTAGGAGTGATTATAACAAGGGAATATGCAGAGCATAGCAATCTCTTGTAGCAGATTACCCCAATAAGAGACAGGATTCTAAATTGAGGGTGAAATAGAACTGTCTAAAACGTTATTTTACTTGGGACTAGCCCATATGGTCATTACATTAACATTGCTGTGAAAACTCAATAAAATTACAAACAGTCAAATCATAGCAGGCAACATACAGTGACTTATTATAACATAATTACATATTTATAAATGGGTGGGGAAGACCATAATTAACACAAAATGTCTCTCCTACATGCAGAATTAGTGATATGCAAATCTACCTGAATATGCAAATGGCCAGTCTTGCTATTCAGGTAGTGCATATTACTGTTGCTACCAACAGAGGGCACTACACAAGCTCCATAGCCATTGTTGGTAGCAATCCTCAGAAGTACAGGAGAGCAGGCAATACATCCCAGGGGCCATAGTCACATAGTCACATGGCAGGAGGCTGGCAATCAGTCTTCTCCAGTGCCCAGTGGCGAGGCTGGTTCAGTCACAATAATAAAATAAATTATCCATACAGGTGGTCCTCGTTTAGCGACCTACCTGTTTTACGATGGCTCGCACTTACGACTAGGTGTTATTGTGAGCCGTCATGGGGATTCCCTGCTCTGGTGCGCATGTCTTCCCCGAACATAGACGAACCCACCAGAGCAGGGAATCTCTCAAATCTATGTTTGGCGAAATTTTCCTGAACATAGACGAACGCACGAGAACAGGGAATCCCTCAAATCTATGTTTGGGGAAATTTCCCCTAACATAGATTAGAGGGATTCCCTGCTCTAGTGTGTTCGTCTATGTTCAGGGAAGTTTCCCGGAACAAAGATGATTGCACCAGAACAGGGAATCCCTTAACTCCTCACTTACTGACCGATTTGTTCTACGACCAGATCATAGGAAGGGAACCCGGTGGTAAGTGAGGAGTGTCTGTATTATATATGTATAACATTTTATAAAATAATTAAATCATTTTATAATATGTTATACATATATAATGCATCTATATGATTTCATTATACGTGTACGTTGATATATATACACATATATCTCAAAATATATACATAGACACGTATTATGTGTGTGTGTATATATATATATATATATATGTGTATGTTTTATATATATATATATATATATATATATATATATAAAAATAATATACACAAACACATATTATATTTAGATATATATATATACATATATATAAATTTAAAAAAATAAACATTTGTACAAAAACAAATAAAACCACTAAATACGGCCAGTGTTTGTGACTAATTGGCTACTACAAAAGACTGGACATACCCCATTTTGAATACCCTGGGTTGTCTACATTTGAAAATGGTATGCCATGATGGGGCTATTTCACATTCCTGGGCTACCATATGATCTCAAAAGGCAACACAGACCCAGCAAACCAATCTGGCAAACTGAATCGGGCAAGCCCTATATTGACCCTGTAACTTTCCAAAGCACCA